ATTTGCTTGGAAAACTTCCTAAGTAGATCTGAGCTGTGGTGAGTCTTAAAGTCACAATAAGGAAACCCACGATCGCAATTTTTCCCAATCCAGCCGTCCATGCATACGCATTCGTAATCATTGAATTTATCGATGCATTTCAACGAGTTCTGGCACATACTCCGTCGGCATTCATCGATTTCTGAAAGAGTTTTCATGAGCATTCATTGTGACACAGTGGGTTCTGTGATCTTCAAGTAGCCTCTTTCCGTGGGTGCTAATCTGAAGAGGCGGTTGACTATGCGGTACAGTTGTAATAACTGAAGTCAGTCGCCGTAAGAATTTAGGCGTGGCGTCGGCCCATTTTCCATGGACTTCCGAGCGGCTTTGAGCGTTCACATAGTGGTGGAAAAAGGTCTATGGCTATGACAAATCCCTCATGACGCTGACCAGCGCGTAAAGATCGTACAAACTGACGGTCATCCATACCGAACTGAATTTGCACCGGGGGAGGGGACAACACTAAGGAGAAGAAGATGAACATAGCCTCATCTTGTTTCGTTTGACATTCACAACTAGCGACTCATGTCCAGGAACTTTACAGCTATTTCTATGAGGGGTCAGAAAAGCGTGGTCAGAAACACTTGACTTGGATGAATGAGACGGGGCACGTAATCTACGTTGATGGGCCATGGTACCGCCTCCATCATTACGGACTGTCGGGGCGGCGTTCAGTGCGGCTGCGTTTTCCGCGGTTCCAAGCTTTTCTGCACCAGTTGTTGAAGCGATCAAATGACATAACAGCATTATATCCTTCGTATTACTCGTTTTCTACCACTTTTTGTCGCATACGCGTTTCAACGAAAAGGCTGAGAACGGCTTCAAACAGTGTGCGCACTCCTACTGGCTGATACGCCCGACAGTCCGCAATGAAAAGGAGTATATGTGATGTTTTATGGAAAAGAATTTAATTCTCAGGAAATCAGATCAGACCTCTTTCGCACCGTAATCCTGTAATTCCTGGATCGCATTTGCATCCGACCCTACCATCAATTCGCATTATACATGTTCCATTACCCGAGCATTGATTGGGTTCACAAGCGACTGAAAAAGTAATATTCATCCCCGAGTAACTCCATCAAAGCGTTTCTATCTTAGTTGAAGTGCTTCAGTAGGCCTGTGCAAGTACAAGAGCATGCACTTATGTTCTTAACTCCACTAAGGTTCCTTGAATTTACGAAGTGCTGAACGAATTGGAAGGTAGGGCATTGTTTACCGAAGATGAAATCAGGGATCGATTCACACCCCTTTATACATCCGAAGGTTTGCAGGAATCATGACCAGATAGCGCACTTGAAACGGGAAGAATTAAAACCGGAAAATTTTTTCGCTACTCAGGAAAACCTCCTCTAAGGCTGGATATATACATCTCCTCCACACCGACCAAGAAGCAACCCCGCCCTCATATGATTTTCCTGACGACGCTGTAATATTTCACGTGTACTTACTTCTTCTGTACTAATTAATTCTATAAACTTACATTGACAGTAGGTGCCGACTGTGTTCTTCTGGCACTCACATTTGTAGGTTTTGTTTGGTCCATTAACACAGGTGGCGTTATTTGCACAAGAATGATTGATACACATATCGTGCTCTGAAGCAGAGTTTTTCCAGTATACTTTTCATTAGAATTTTGATCAAGAGTTCTTATAGGACTTTTCTGCGCTTTAACTCGCATAGGCCAATGGCGCTGTTTATCAAGGTTCACGGGCTACATCGTGAATCGATTTACGCCCAGACTATCCGGGCTTTTCATCTCTCTCAACTAGGCTAATTGGTGCTCGGCTAATCTATGAGAACGCAGACATCGACACTAGCCCTTGAAAGCCCGATTCATATACCATTGTACTCAGAAGAAGCAACGATCTAGGCTAGAAGAAAGGGTAGAAAGTCCTTGCGGTTTTCGTTGCCCCAATTTTGAACGCTGTTTTCTACACTACACTTCACAGGATGTAGCTGTCACATTCAATATTACTTTAAAGCGCATTTTCCTTTTTTTCAACTTCAATCTGAAAACCTGATTTCGCAAGGGAACGCTTCTGCTCCATACTTCATGTTCTTAATCAATTATACTTATTCACCTGTACAGTTCACTCCTGTGAATCCTGTGGCGCATTCACAGTGAACCCGCTTCTCTTTAACCGAACAAGTTCCACCATTTTCGCAAGGGTTAGCCTGC